AAAGGTCTTGGTTAAGGAATCATGCCAAAAAAAAATGGTAAGTGACCATCACGTGCACAATTTCTATTGAGAGAAAAAGTCCTGTCTTCACATGGAGAAGGCACTCCATCAGATTGGTGTAGCACTTTCACCACGTTACTTTATGACTCGAAATGAAAGACTTTGAAATAGATCTGCCAACAGAAGACTGCTATCCATGAAGTGTAATGGGTCATCAGCACAGTCGCACTTCAAATATGATCTGCAACCCCATGGTCCACAAATCCCCATTCTACCATCATAATCAAACCAGATGATTGAGGATTAGTTCAAACAGTGCAGGAGGGCAAACCCAAAACATAATAAAATTAAAGCATACACTTACAAAATTGTCTCAGAAGTCCAAAACATTGGTATTCAGTGTCCAAGTACACTGATGTATGGCATTATGTAATTATACAGTTCCACAATATACTGCTCTTTATTCAGTGTACATCAGGAGTCCTTTCCAGAACAGCTTTCACCACCTGAGATTATCTGCAACAAGACACTTGTATGCACTCTTGCTTTCTCTGATCATGACAGCAGTAGCTTTACGTAGTTTTCCCAAACTTCCTTTTCAACTAAACAATACCACACCAGATCATTGTTTGGCTGCATCCAGTTTACAAAGCACTTCTCTAGCACAATAAACCTTGTAAGTGGCACTTACAGGGCCAGGACTGTGCCAGCGAATCAAGTGTTCTGGTTGATCAAGGCAGGGTCCCTTCACACACACTAAGTAATAGAAGTGTAATGCAGGGGGTATACACACTATTCACAGCATAAATTACAATAATAATGCAATTTTGCCTTCAATAATAAACAAAAAAAATCAGACCTCCTCCTCCCTATCCCTGATAAGTTTAAGGCCTTATTTGCAGCAGCTCAAGTTATACAATAAACCAGGCAAGGCTGTGCCCTGGTAAAAGTTGAACATGGCCCAATGGAATTGGTCACTCTTCTCAGTAATCATGCCAATTTCCCGTGATCAATACATCTTTATTGCACACTGGTCTTTAAAGTGTTGCTGCACATTCTCAAACTTGTTTAACACTGCTAGTTTGTACACAACTTGGTAATCAGCTCTTGACTGTAACCCTCAAGGTCTGCACTAAAATGCAGGACCTCAATTCCTCAAAGCATCTTTTCTAGTTCTATTTGCATCATAGTTCCTATGTGAATCACAATAATGGGATTCTCCCCTACCCACTCCAGGGTTCATCTCTAGACGAGGTGATATCCTTAACCTCAGCAGTGGACAGATAACATTCAGAACACTACAGAGAAGAGCATCTGTCCCTCTGGCAATGCCATCTCCTTTCATGATTTTTTTTTTTTTTTTTTTTTTAGTTCCCCACCTGAACGGCATCCTGCACACAGTGCATGACCTGTAGGCTCATCCATCCTGCAGACCTGGTCTCATCCATATGGTTAGCAAACACCTAATACCAGTGGATGTCAAAGTCATAGCTCAGTAACTTTATCCTCATAGTTGCTTGACTCAGTCACACTAATTTCTGAGTATTGACCTACTGTGAGGTTCTACTTAATTTTAGGATTGCAACTTAGTGAAATTTTCTAATTAGGTTTTTGTCCCTTGGTTTCTATATATTACATGTTTCTTTGTAGCATAAATGTGGTCTTGTTTTGCAACTTCACCAGGTTAATATTAACATTTTAAAGTATGGCTGATGCTGCTCCTGGCACACACTCGCACGCAAAAGTGGGATCAATCCCCCGGCTTAAAATAGCAGAGATGGATGTTCCGGACCATGAAGCTACTGATTGTTGTAAAAGTAAAATTCTGCTGCTGACAATGCACTGCTCTTCATAAATGCCCAGTTTTGCACTGCTCAAATCTTTTGAGTCTCAAGAGAGTTAGGATGATACAGCACTGGTCTCCACAAGGACTGAGATGTACTGACGCTGATGGATGTAACATGTAGATTTTTTTTTGTTTTGGGGGTGGGGGGGCAAATTTCAGTAGGTTTCACATTCTGGATTCCCTGCTGACTTAGTCGAGCCTGGGCTCAAGCCTAGCAAACTCAGATCAAGGAGCATTAGGAATACATACTGGCCTTGTCACATCCAGTGAGTTTTAATTACAGTTCACATACCAAAGCAACAATCCAAAGAAATCCAGTGAAGCTGAAGTCAAGCTACACAGTTCCGGAGACTGAGGCATAAATAGGAACAGGAGTACGCTATTCAGTCCCTCAAGCCAGCGGGATCAGTGCAGACTGAACATTCACTTTCCTGCCCTTGCCCCATAACCTTCAATTCCCCTACCTATCCAATCTTTCTCAGCCGTAAATATGCACAAGGACTCTGCCCAAACAGTTCAGTTCCAAAAACCCAATCCTCAAAAATTCCTCATCTCAGTCTTAAATTGGCACCTGTTAATTCTAGGATTGTCCCCTCTGGTCCTAGACTCTCCAGCAAAGGAGAATCTACTCAACATTTACCCTGTCAGGCCCCTTGAGAACCCTGTATGTTTCAACCAGGACACCTTTCATTCTAAATTTCACCAAGTCCCAACCTGTTCAGCCTTTGCTCTTAAGCCAATCCCTCACACTAGAGATCATCCTAGTGAATCTTTGCTGAACTGCCTCCAAATGATAGAATATCTTAAATAAAGGGATCAAAAGTGCTAACAGTATTCCAAGTGTAGTCTCACCAACACTTTGTACAGTTGCACAAAGACATCCCTACTCTTACTCCAAACCCTGGAAAACAAGTATCTGAGGTAATCCAGTTTATGGCAGTTTACAATCCATGGACATTCCCCTAGCTGCACGTTGCTGAACCATTTGCTTAGGTGCAACACATTAAACAGTTATCTAACCAATAGCCCAATTTTTGTTTCTTTCCCCACCTGGTGGAAACTAGGCAGGGATGGGGTATTTAAAGACATAGCCGTTAGTTAGCCCCTTCCCAATATATCCTTGTACTAATCCCAATTGGAGAAACAAGCAGGACACTGGTAGAAAGGAGGTAGGTTTTTGGAAATATGCAAGTCATATTGGGTCATGACACTAACATCAACTAAAGACCCAAGTGGAACAGCCAGAAGTAGTGATTTTGACCTACTGAAAATGTTTATTTGCCACACTTCCTGGTGGGGTCAAAGGGGCAGAAGGGCTCCTCTGCAACTGGCAAGAAAACCTCAGGCCTTGCCTGCACCTGCTGCTTATCCATACTCCTGCTCAATGGTCAGTGTGCCTGTTTGGCATTAAAGAGGGCAACTGTTTAACAATCATGGCCATTAAATGGGCATTTTCAAGTTGCCAGACTGTGTCCAGTGAAATGCTACTGTCAATCCATTATTCCCTTTCTCTTCCATTCAAGTTTGATGATACAAAAAGGTTGGTTGAAATGCAAGCTTTGAAGATGTCAGACTGCAAAAGACAGTGAAAAGAGGAACAAAATAGCATATGAAGTACATTATGGTCACTGGTAGTGAGAATACAAAAAAGTGATCTTTAAAAAGACGCTGATGATGCAGTGCACTGTTTTGATTTCCAAATTCGGAGATGGAAAAAAGATTGACTACATTATAATTGTGTTTAATCTAGTGAGCCAAATAAATGAGGTCAGAGTTTGTTAGAGTGGACTGGGAGAGGAGTTTAAGCAGAAAACACCACAGTAAATACAATAGCAATCCCTAAAAGGAAAAAGGTACTATGAAACTAAAGGTCATAAAAATGTCCTTTGGATTGCATCCAAGGATATTAGAAGTAAGCAGCCAGAGTTAGTGAATGAACTAGTATTAATCTTCCATAAAATCAAAAAAATTCTTGGAAAGTTGCAGAGGATTGGAAAACTACCAATGTAACACATTCAAAAGAGGCAGGGAGATAAAAAGAAACCAGTAAGCTCAAACTATCTTTGGGAAAAATGTTAGTCTTTATAACTGATTCTAATAGCTGAGCATTCAGAAAAAACAACTGATGCAGCATCGCTTCATGAAGTGAAAGTCATGTCTGACAAAATTCATTAAAATTATCTGAAGTAGGAACAGCAAGGTAGATACGAGGAGGCAGTGGATGTAACATATTTGGACATCCATGAGATATCACGCATCCGGTTGCTATAGTGTAAAACCCAAAAAGGAGTTGACAGTAGCATGTCAGCATGGATACCAGTACTAGCTAACAAACAGAAGACCATTGGGATTTTCAGGTGGCAACCTGTAATTCAAATTCCCTCCCCAAGGTCATTGTGGGTCTACCTTCAGCACATGAATTGCAGTGGCTCAAGGAAGCAGCTCACCTCCACCTTAAAGGGCAAAATAGGGATGAGCAATAAATGCTGGCTAGCCAGCAACACCCATGTCCAACAAGTGAAGTGAATTTTAAAGAGGTGCCATAGGGATCAGAGCTGGGCCCATAATTAGTTACTACATATTTTGTACATTAAAATGTTCACTATCACCATGTTTACAGATTAAAAAGTGGGAAGGCAACTATGGAGAATGACAAAAAAGTGAATCTGGAGTGAATAAGTGGGCAAAAACCCATTCAACCCCACACTGAACGTAATGTGGGAAAATGCAAGGTTATGCACTATGGCAGACAGACAAGCTGATTACTTTAATAGAGAAAGATTACAAAGAGCTCCAGCACAAGGGATTCCGGGTCTTTGTGTGTAAATCACAAAAAGCTATCATCCACATTCAGCAAATAGGGAAGGCAAATGGAATATTAGCCTTTAAGCATAAAGAAAAAACTTTTGCGAAAAGTGCATAAGGCACTAGTTAGACCACAGTTTGAAAACTGAACAGTTTGGTCCTCTTATAGGAGG